CTGCAAGAGAGAAGAGGAGAGCGTCAGCCCCGCCGCGCGCCCGGCTGCTGCGGGAAGGGCTCCGCGCACGGCCGCGATCCTCGGCTGCCAAGGGGGGGCTAATTGAGGCTGTGACGAATCGACCTAATTACAAAGCTTAATTAAAAATACTGTACGAACCAATATATTTTTTTACCAGTGACAATCGCTGGACGGAGCTACAGACGAACGCGGGGGTCATGTCATGTTACAAGTTATCAATCTTTTTAATAGATTATGGCTTGGAGATCCCTCCAGCTCACTTTTGTCTAATCCCCTGAAAAGGCGATACACATTCGCGTCTCAGTGCCATTTATCACCCTGCAGTCGGGGTTTTCTTGGGTATTTAGGCATGTGCCAGCATAAGCATCTGTTGCTTTATACTGCCCTGCTTCAACTGTCTCACTGGAACAGATGCACAGAAACTCAACAACAGGGCTGTTTTCTTGGGAGAAATGTGGATCGCTAGAGAAAAGGGAGGATAAAACAAATCTGGGGGAAAGTGGATCAGCGAAAACGTCCCATATCTCTGGGCATACTCGTGCTTGAAAACAAAACGTGAACTTCAACAAGTAGCTGTTCTTTGGGGAGAGAATCTTCATTTGGGGCAGAAATTCCCTGGTATTTCAGCTCCGCAGAGCACACAGTGCTGTCCATACCCCACTGGCACAGATGTCCTGAGCACAGGAGCGGTTCTGCTCCCAGCAGGAGGACCGCCGGGGCCGGAGGTTGGGGCAGAAGCCATAGGGTGGGCAGCCTGGCTGGGCCCTTGGGGCAGGCCAAGCCCCGATGAATGCAGGCGCTGTTACGCCCGGGACGTGCAGGGAGATGCCACTTGGCACTGACATATTGCTGCAGGAATACACCAACAGGCAGTGGCTATTTAGGCTGAAGTAAAATAATGCAGCCAGAGAGATCCAGGTATTAGAGAGCTGCTGCTGATACTCGGCGTTTTTCTCTGGCTGCCGTAATATATGAGGTGCGTCTGTGCGCACGTACAAACTGACGACAAGTTTTACCAACTTTTTTCTCTGTTCCTTTTCAGTGTCTGATTTGATTGATAGTATAATCAACCCAGAGAGGATTTATTAACATTTACAGAAGACTCTGAGGCAAGTTTCATGTGATACTTTGAGATTATGTGGTCTTGCCATGGAGGTAGAACCAGTAAAATAAATAGCACGGTCGCAGGAGTTGTCCCGCGTCCAATACACCTCATTAACGAACTCTTCCTTCGCTCGCCCTTCTGAACACAAACACGCCGTTCTCATATCGCCTCCATCTATTGCCTACAGATTTTCTATTTAGACTTAAGCAGGCTGTAATTAAGCGAAATAGTTCTCATATGTAAAGTTCATAAACAGAGCGAAGTTCCTGCAGGAGTTACGAGGCGGTGCCAAGTCCCGCTCTGCGCTCCAGGCTGCCCGGTGCTGAGGACCGCCAGCAATCCCCCATTCGAGGGAGCGCCTCTTGTGATCGGCACTTGAGCATGACCGTCTCTGGCCAGGCCAGGAGCCGCGAGAAGGGCCCAGCAGGGAGTAAAGGGGTTAAAATTCAGAGCCGATCATTCAAATCTATATTGCAGATGTCCAATTGGCTCCCGTTGCCGCTGGCCGGGCCACATGGCTCGGCAGCCGGGTGACGGCAGCGGGAGCCGCGCTGGCCTCGCAGGTCCCCCTGACTCCAGCACGGGTTTCAGAAAGAGAGAGCAAGCAGCGAGGCAGGAGCGTGTGCTGTGTGCAGGCCTAGTGCTGGGCCGCGCGCCCATCGCCTCTCCGCTGGGCCGAGCACCGCCGACAGGGGCTGCGTGCCTCCGTCCGTCCGTCCGTCCGTCCCGCGCGGCCGCGCTCCCCCACGGCCCGGCGCTCCTTCACGCATCTTGCTATTCAGCCTGCGCCTCGCAGACAAGGTTACCCCAGAGCGGCTCTGTAATCCTTCACTGAAATAGGCTTTATTGATTGCTCTGGTCTATTGTTCCCTTTTCAAGTCCCCCAAGTTCAAGTTCATCCTGGTGTTACATCATGTCTCGTTGCTAGCAGCAACCAGACAGCCCCAGACGTGACTATCATTAGCAAGAGCCGCGCTGCGCCCTCCCACCGCCCGCCAGCCGCTCTGACGTAGCAGCCCCGCTGCACACACATTGAAGTATTTATTCTGCCTAATTTATGACCTACACAGCGAGAGAGACCCCCACTCCAAAAACCAACACTGTTGTATATTTAATTAATCTGTCTTTCTCTGGCACTTGGGAAAGTTAGACAAAGGCCTAATTATTGTGTTTCGCTCCCCACACTTTTCTTTTTGGGGTGACTATTTGCATGGGAAAAGAAACGGCGCGGCCCCGCGCGAGTCCCCTCCCTCCAAAACACCTTTTTTTTCCTCCCCTGCCCTATTGACATTTCATGAAATACTTTAGCTGCTTAAGGGAATTAGAAAAAAAAAAATCTGATGTGAATGTAACTCCTTCTGAGTCGGTATTCAGTAACACAAATCAACTCATGACATGTTTAAATTTAAATGCTAACCACACACTCGGAGAGTTACTTTAAAGGTTAGTTTTTAATCAATAGAAGTTGCTGACTCCAGAGTTTTTCGCTGCGCAGTGCAGCTCTGGGGCCTTTGTCTCGCGTTAGGCTTTCAAACTTTTTTTTTTTCTCGAGATGATTTTAGCAATGATTTGCAGACACAGAGTGCTATTGTGCTCTTGACTAGCAACATGTCAATAAAGGAGTAGAGTTACCATGCACCAGGGTGTCAATATGACTCCTGCAGACACCGCTCGGCCTTAATGCCGATGCAAAACTTAATTAACCCTTACGGGATCAAACCCAACTGCACGGATATTTTTTAAACTTCTGTGCAGGGGCTCCGCACCGACTTTACTGAAAAGCTGCTTTTAAAGGAGCCAAACTCCAGGTCCCTCACAAACAGCTGCACCGCGCTGGCTGTTCCCGCAGCCTGGCTTTGATGAAATGTTTTATGGGCTGAGGCAGCAGAACAGCAAGACAGAGAGTGCATTTACTCATCAGATCCCACCGGCACTGCTCTCAGGATACCGTTTTAATTTAGAGCGTCTCACAGCTGAAACGCACACGCAGAATGATCCTCCTTTTCGACTAATCATTTTAATATTAAGATCTCATATCCCCCTGAAGCCTCCTATACACGTCTAAGTCTTCCCGGATTAGGTCTGAAGAGCTCCATTGTCCCTTTGAAGCACCTGTGAAACTTTCCCGTGAGGGGAGAGGGACCTCGCTGCCTCCATAGGACGCCCGGAAAGTGCACGAAGCACGGGGCTCTGAGAAGCGTGCACGGCGAGGGGCCCTGGGGGAGGAACACAGCCCAGCTCTGTACACTGGGATCGCCGCCTTCTTTTTTGCCTTCTTGCGGGTGCGAGCGGGGCTCTCCCGCCCAACCCCTTCACGTTCTGTAATCTATCCGTCTGCACCCAGCCAGAGAACAGCGTATTGCCTTTCTTAATTTAAAATCTCCATTTAAATCATGTGCGCTATCGCAACACAGTCAGGATGATACGATCTCCTGGCATTTTCATAAAAGAGACGGTGTTTTATTTCCTCTCTATTTACTTTGCGGTACTGTTCTACCAGTGAGTTCAGAGCTCAGTGAATGCGCTGGAGCTGAGGTTGCCTCTCGGTGCGGGTGCGCACCGTCCTGCGGAGCATCCTGCGTCCTTCCCAGCTCTCAAGGTGAAACATCAGAAAGAATTCTGCAGTCCGGCACGAGATCGTCGCTTCCCTTTCTCCAGTCAAATGAAGAAGTAATCTCATCAGGTTGAAAAGTGCTGACTAAGGATTTAATAAAGTGCCTGCAGATGTGTGTCATCTCTAAGGTATTCAACTCATGTAATGCAAAACAGTTCCACACCGAATGTGCTTATAAAATTCCATTTAACCATTGCAGAGCTCTATTTTACTGTTCTCGGAGGAGTATTATCACACTTTTTTTTTTTTTTTTTCCTAATTTACAGCACCATGAAAGTTGAAAGTCTACGCTGCCACTATCTGAGAATCCTCACAGTAGTAAGGTTTTATGAACCATAAACAATATCTACTTGACTGAATCCTAAACAGGAAGTCTGAAATGGCAATTACGTGTCTTTGATAGCGGAGTCTATTTGTTTCTTATGCTGTTCTGAAGATAGCAAAGACACACAAAAATCCTTCAGCAACTTCTGACAATCGAGTCCTTTGTATTGACAGAACAGCAAGGAAACACTCTGTGATTCAGGATATTTAAAAAGAGGAAAGCTGAAAGTGCCTCATTGACTTCGGTACGGTTTCTGCCTGCGTCAGGAGCGCCGAAACAGGCCCATTGTTTACAAGAATCTTCTTCAGCAGCCTTCCTGCACGATGCACTTTATCCCCGGCTCCTGAGCCTCACTGTGATCGCAGCTCACATGTTTTCAAACGGAAAGACGATCAAACAAAAACTTGTTAAATTTACCTCTACCTGCACATCCCCTGTGCTAACAATGAGGCCTTTCAGTTCGCGCAAAAAAGTGAAGCTTGTAAAGTGGCCCTATCTGCTTTTCAAATTAAAAAGTTAAACAAAAGTCCTCAAGGGCAAAGTTTAACGCTGCGGAAGGAGGTTGTTAATGTGGAATCCAGAACTGGGTGTGACAGTTGGCTTATTTCTCTGGGCGATGTGGGTTATTTAAGGACATTCACACATTTGAAACTCTGACAAACTCCACACACTGGAGATTTTTCTTCACCTCCTCCTCTTCAGGCTGGCCATTCTCTTGATGGTCCAGGCCCGTTCTGTCGGCCGGTGGTAGCTGGGCTCGGGACTTCAAACACACTCTCCGCTGCGCCGTGGCCGTTGCTGCCCTTGGCACGGCTGCAGCAAGTTATCACTGTGTCATCCGGGAGGGGAAAAACACCTTTGATAAGAGCCCGAATGTAAAAACCGTGCAGCTTTAGAGCTCGCCGGCAAAGGAGCTGTTTGAGCAGTAGAGCCAA